CTTTATCTGGGCTTGGGACAGGCTAGAATACTAGTGACCTAGTAATCTAGGCGAGGCCTTCGACAGCGTTGACCGTGAAGTAATTTGGAAACTACTCGAGTACTACGGCGTACCCCAAATATTCATCAACCTTATTCAACAGCTGTACGACAACGGCACATGTCAAGTGATCCACAACGGAAAACTCAGCGAAGCGTTTCGAGTAAACACAGGAGTCAGACAAGGGTGCTTATTGTCACCAATGATATTCCTAATTGTGGTGGACTGGATTATGCGTCAGACAGTGGGAAACGAGAAGACAGGGATATCCTGGACCAATGTGAAGAACCTAGAAGACCTGGATTTCGCGCATGGATAATTTATGTCTGATGTCACACAAAATCGAAGACTTACAAGCGAAAACCGACAAACTGGTCGAAGAAGTAGCAAAGACAGGACTCCAGGTGAACATAGACAAGACAGAGGTTATGAAAATAACCAACCAACAACAACAACAACAGCAGCAACATCCAGCGCCAATCACCATCAACGGGAGGGATTTGAAAGAGGTTACTTCTTTCACTTATCTAGGGAGCATTGTCTCAACTACAGGAGGAATGGACGAGGATGTCAAATCGAGAATCGGGAAGGCGAGAAACACATTCACCAACCTGAAACCAATATGGAAATCTTCGTCACTCAGCATCAACAACAAAATGATTCGGATTTTCAATACAAACGTCAAGTCAGTCAGTTCTTCTATACGGATCAGAAACTTGGCGGGTCACAAAGAATATTTCCAACAGGTTGCAGACCTTTATCAACAACTGTCTTCGCTCTATACTCAAGATCAGATGGCCGGAAAGAACAAGAACCAACAAGAAACTATGGGAACAAACAAAAAAAGAACCAATCGCTCAACAAATATGCAGGAGAAAATGGAGATGGATTGGACACTCGCTGAGGAGGCCGCTGGGTGACATCGCGCGTCAGGCCAACGCTCGAGTGGAACCCGAAAAGGAAGCGACGAGTGGGACGTCCAAATGTGACATGGAGGAGATCGTGTGAAGAAGAGCTGAAACAGTATGGATTAACATGGATGCAAGTGAAAAGTGCAGCACAGGACAGAAGCAAGTGGAGGCGTGCAGTTGAAGCCCTATGTTCCACTAGGAACCCAAGGGAACAATAATAATAATAGTACTATGAAGTTTTATGAAAATAAATTTTACCCACAATGGAATTTTATACTCTGTTGATACTCCAACCTAAAACTGAGACCTATTTTTATCACATATGAGAGAAAAGTATCCTCTGAAACACTTTTATACAGTTTTTGTGCATTTATTTCATAAATATATGTATTCTATACACAAAAATGCCTCCTTCACGTGATCGGTGCATTCCAGCTCATTTGCTGATTGATGGTAGTTAGTGGTGCTTAAAGTTTAACTTTGCCCGCTTCTAAGAGGTAACAAGTATGAATCAGTAATTCGCAATCACGCTAATGGATCGGTGGCATAGCGGTTAGGACGCTCACCGACCATGCACATGGTCCGGGGTTCGATCCCCGGCAACCGACGCACTCCTTTACCTCGCTAAGTCAGAAATAATGCTGGTGAGGAGGAAAGGTTGGGCATGAAGCTAGCAACCCCATCCTGTAAGAATAAAAACTGCTACAGAAACTTCAAGCCACTAGCTTGAAGCTACAGTGTGTTCCACTGGGGAACGTGAAGGAAAAAAACGCTAACGGATCAGTAGTTTACTGGACAATAATAATAATTCACTTTATTCCACAACAATAATAATTTACAGCATGGAATTTTCAGCGTTTCATTTTACATATTGCATTGGTTTAGCTCTTTTTATAATTATATAAATGTATAAAATGTTAAAATATTGATAGTTAATAGGAAAAAATAAAACCCCAACAAAATCACACCATTGCTAGGTCATAGTGAAATAATAAATAAATAATATAACAAATCACACATGCAATAATATGCATCATTACATTTTATAGTTTAGTTAATGATTTAAAAGTTGTAAAAGTTCTTTTCTGATATTCGTCTCTTCACACAATACTCGTGCCAAATATGGTACGGCCGAATTTTTATATTTTGTAGTACGAGCATAAATGTTTATGAAATTTCTTCTGGTCTTACCCGAAGAGATACAAGGAAACAAATGTGAATAAAGAGGATGTTCACTATCAGACAAAATAACTTTAGCTAACTGTTTACAAGAATTCATATGCCTATTGACAACAGTGTCGGTTAGTTGAGTCAAAGGGATAGCACTGACCCTACTTACAGCCTTCAATGTTCTTCGTAGTATTATATAGTCTTTGTTGAGTAGCCCAGGGAAGAATAATGGAGAACAATAAAGAATGATGGGCAAAACACATGAATTAATAAATTGTATGAGAAGAGATTGGGTTATACCTGAAGCTCAACACGATGAGTCTCAGTGTGAGAAGACTATCCTTCAGTGGTGAGCTGTTGAATTTGGTTGATTTTTCTTGGATTTGACGACACGAGCATGCTAATTAAACCTTGTAGAGTGAACCTTAAACTTTGACCTAGATAGTTAACTAATCTTCCCTGGCTTATTAGCTTTCTATTTTTTTATAGCCATTCCCTAGCCCCGGGTAAAGAGGGAAGGTTGGGCGTGGGGCTAGTGACTCTACTCCCCAGAAAACTAATCAAATTCCTACATAAAATTCAACGTACAATCAAACTGGCGAAATAAGCTGGCAGATAGAGAATACAGGACAGATTTCAGGGGAACGTAGAGAAGGTGGAGACGGAGGTGATGAAGATAACCAACCAACCACCACCACCATCAGCGACAGTAAAAACAACCAGCACCAATCACCCACCATTAACGGGTGGAAGCATGGCGTCAACCACATCCAGACTGAACGGATGAGGATGGCAAAGCCAGCCAGTCAATCAGCATTGGAAAGGCAAGATACACCTTCATCAACCAACCTGAAACCAGTTTGCAAATCTTCTGCACTGACTCATGACTCACTCACTCACTCAGCCAGCATAAACAAAAAAGATTCGTTCGGATTGTGTTCAACACAAATGTGAAGTCAGTCAGTCAGTCACTCTTAGTCATTCAGTGAGTTCTTCTATACAGGTGAGAAACTTGCACTGAGCACGCGTCACGTAAAGCATTTCCAACAGGACACAGCAGACTTTTATCAACAGCTGCCCACTTCGCTGGCTGGTTGACTTCATACTGAAGATCGAATGGCCGGTCGGTCGGCCGGCCGGCCAGAAGAAACTCTGAGTAGCGACGAACCAACCAAAAGTCGACTGCTCAGTGAATATGTAGATGGACTGGGCATACGTTGAGGAGGCCATCGAATCGACATCGGGCGAAGTGCAGGCCATCGTTTGAGTGGAATCCGCATGGGAAGAGACGAGTGGGTCGTCGGTGTGAGGACGACTTGGAGGAGATGGTGTGTCGAGGAGGAGGAGGAGGAGGAGGAGGAGTGGGAGATGAGAGATTACGGGCAATCGCGGACGCAACTGAAGAGGAATGCAGAGAACAGAAAGAAGTGGAGATATGTTTTCGAGGCTGTATGTTTCGATTGAATCCCAAGAAAATAATAATAAACAGTTTCTTAAACTAGACGTTCTCTTATAGTCGATTTGATTTGAAACTCTTTAGACGGCCGACTAGAAACAACAAGTGAAAGCGAAGAGAACAGCAATCTACTGCCTACATAGAAAAATGTAGCATCTGGATTTCGCCAATCACATATATGTCTGATTTCCCACAAAATGGAGGATATGCAGGTGAAAAGCAACATGTTGACGATAGCGGAAGCATCCAGACAAGATAGGCATTCAAATGAACATAGAGAAAACAGATGTGGTGATGAAGATTCCTGTCCAACATTAACAGTCACAGAAGCAACAACAACAGACAACAATCAGCCAGCATAAATGGGAGAAATCTGAAAGAAGCAGCCTCCTTTACCTATCTACCTACATACCTACCTGGAAAGCATCATTCCAGCTACAGGTGGATGGAACGGATGAGGATATCAAAGCTGCGAGGATCAGGAAAGCAAGTCAAGCAAGCTTTCATTACTCTCAAATCTGATTGGAGACCAACACTCAGCAACATGAAAATGAAAATAAGATATAGTGCTACTTACTATACGGATAAGAAACTTGGCGCCGCGTCACGAAGGCCAATTCGAACAAACTACAGACCTTCACCAATAGCTGTCTTCGCTCAATACTGCTCAAGATCAGATAGTCAAAAAAGAGCAGCAACAGAAAGGGATCTGTGACAGCGAACCAACCGAGCAGGAACCAATTGTGTAGCAAATATGCAGGATGAAACGGAGATGGATTGGTTGGCCATACTCTGAGAAAACAAACTATCAAGTGAATGACATCAGAAACCAGGCCATTGCTCGAGTGGAACCTGAACAGGAAGTGGCGAATTGGTTGTCAGTGAGCGAGGGGGGTGACATGGAGGAGGTGATGTGAGAAGGAGATGAAAGTATGGTGGCAGATATCGGAGAACCGAACATAATGTAGACGTGCGGCTGAAGACCTATGTTCCTCCAGGAACTAAAGGAAACAGTGATAATAAATAATAATAACTGCCCGACAAACATGTAGAAGGTAATGGAGGAGGAGTGAACATACACTGAAGAGACCATAGAGTGACGTCACACATCAAACAGACCTTAGATTCGGGGTCGGGTGGAAAATCACAGATGATTTTGGCATGGGTCCGAGTGTGACATGGAGGAGATTGTGTGAAGGGGAAATGAAAGCTTATGTCGGAAAGCGTGGTGGCAGCGGCAAAAGACGACATAAAACCGAGTGAAACGTAAATCGTCCGCTGAAGCCCTAGGGGTCCCACTCGGAATCCAAGAGAAAAATAGTAAATATAATGTTTTTTACAATATTTACAGTTTTAAATATACTACTTAATTACCTACTGATATAATCAATATTAAATTGAATCAAAAATTTAAATGAACTCACAGCTGCTGTTCTCAGATCACATTGTTCAAACAAATGGTCATATAAAGTGACCATTTCTGCCATACCAATAGCTGCACGAGCGCCTCGACTACTTTTCTTTTCATCAATTTCAAGATGATGTCGACCTAGGGCTATTGCTCCACTGGTAACGAGAAGGCATTGTCGTCCCTTTAAGTAAAATGAAAATAAAAGTGGAATTAGATGGAAATAACAACGTACTAGGATACATAATCGATTCATTTAGGTGAGTTAGAAGAATCTGTGAATACAGTCAACGAATATGGCAAGAATTATAGAAAATATTGCACTGGCCATGAGTACCATTCACGTATTATTATTACTCCCTTCAGTTCCGAGTGTGACATAAAGCCTCAGCAACGCATCTCCACAGTTAAGAATATCATCGGTGATAATAATAGGCAGCCAGCTTGTCTTACTCCATCCTGTATTCACCTCGAACTCCTCACTGAGTAAGTTTCCCGTTATGGATCGACCAGCTAACACTTGACGTTGTCATATAGCCAGCTGTTGGATGAGATTGATAAAGACTTGGAGCACACCGTAGTATTGAAGCTGTTCCCAAATTAATTCTAGGTCAACACTGTCGAAGGCCTTTTCAAAGTCGATGAAACTGGGGTAGAGAGGAGTTTGACTGACATTCTGTACTCTCTTCGCCGGTGATGCGTAGAGTTGCAATTTGATTTAGACATGGTTCGCCTTTCCTGAATCCAGCCAGCTTGTTTCTGTCTGGCGAAGTTCTGCATTCAGTGCTTCCAGGGTGACGCCAATCAGTATTTTACTTGGCATGAACAGGCATTATTCCTCGCCAGTTCTCGCAGAGTGAGGCATAAGTCGCCCTTTGTTTGGTAGCTTGACAAGGTAGCCAGCCTTTCTTCCAGTCGGTAGGCACCTTTCCTTCCTGCCTCAGTCTGTGGGTCCGTTTTCAGTGCTTCGAGGAGGGAAGACTTCTGTCTGATCCTACTGCCTTCCCAGCCGGCATTGAGTAGCTTGATCGCATTTAAGATTTTTGCTTTCTTTGAAGGATTGATGTCCACTGGCAGGCAGTTCTCTGCGTACTATTAGTGGTGTATTTTTGTGGGCGAGTTGCAGGTGATCAACCCACTGTTTGATTTGTTTCTCCTCCTTGGTAATTACGTTCCCTTGGCTATCTTTTATAGGTTGAACCGGGAAGAAATCAACGCCGATTAAACCACTCACGTGACGTTTACATAAACAGTTATCAAAAAGTTTCAACTTGTTTTAAACAAGAGAGATTCATATCAAAAATTGCGATTCAAATGTTCAATTGTAGAATATCTCCACATCACAGGACTTACTATAAAAACTCTACGTGTACTCATTAGGTCAGTTACTGACTAAAGTATGCAGAAGAACGAGATGGTTCTCTTCCTCCGTTGAACAGGAATGAATGATGAGTGTCCTTCTGTGTGTGCTTGACTAGATGTCCTCGACTGACTTGCCTACCGGTGTGCCTATGAAATACACACCGAACGCTAACTGCCCTCTTGTTATTCTACATATGATAAGGGTGAGGAATTCCGATAAGTTTTTTGGTACGACGACTGGTTACTAAACTATCACACTGTTACTTCAAAGACGGAAAATTTTCAAGCAGTATTCTGTTATGCGGTACTTTTTCTCATAATTTGATAGGATACTAGTTAGTGACTAGTGTAGTTGTGTCTGGTCTCCTTTGTTTGGTGCAGATTGAATTCTATCAAACACAAAATAATCTAGCAAAGAATATTCTTTTGGATAAATTCCTCTTCCGGCTCTACAATTAAGCAAAGGACAAACAAAATCTATTCGCAGTGATATTCTATATCACTCATCTTGTGGATACAGAACACAAGATTGATGTTAACCATGCTTTCAGGGTAATTTATCGCATAGCTACGAATCTCAATTTTGCCTTAAGAGTTCGACTACTAAATATTGCTGAGGCTGTGGGGATCCATATTAACAAGCCTAATTTATGCATCCAAAAGAAGTTAGTTCAGACATTATCCTTACCTTGGCCATCTAGGTTCGAATGATCCTCAATTTCTGTAGAAATTTCCTTAATTTTAGTTGATATTCTATTTGCTATTATATCTTTATTATTATCATTATAATTTAAGCATCTTTAATGAACTGTAATTCCATTGTGATCTTACTTTACAAATCGATATTATTTAAAAAAACACTGATATTGTTATTGACTACTATTCTAGAATATTCTATGTATATAAACATACACGTATATAATTGTAGAGCCGGAAGAGGAATTTATCGAAAAGAATATTCTTTGCTCGATAATTTTGTGTTTTATAGATGTCTGCATGAATTCTATCAGTCAAATTTGATGACAAGCCACCTAACCTGACGGCCATGTTGCAAACTTGACTGATACAATTCAGACCTTTTCGATAATTTCCTCTTCTGGCTCTACAATTATATATATAGATATGTTTATATACAGAGAATATTCTAGAACAGTCCTCATTAAATAATATCGATTTGTTAAGTAAGATCGCAATGTTAATATATGTGTAAAACTCGGGCACTGTGGTAGCAAGTAATTCCATATAAGTTCACAATGGATCACATATTAGATCACAATGGAATTACAGTTCATTAAAGATGCTTGAATTATAATAATCATAATAATAAAGATATAATAGCAAATAGAATATCAACTAAAATTAAGGAAATTTTCACAACCAATTAAGGACCATTAGAACCTTGATGGCCAAGGTAAGGAAAGTGTCTGAACCAGTTAGGTTTCTTATTGTAGTCGAACTTTTTTAAAGCGAAGTTAAGATCATTTAGTTGGTATGCGGTAAATGACTTTGAAGGCCACCTCGTTGACATCAATCTTCTGTTCTGTCTGTATCCACAAGATGATGAGATAGAATAGCGCTACGAATAGATTTTGTTTGTCCTTTACTTAATCACTTTGCGTGGTTAAGTAATGGTTTTAGTAATCGGTAGCAATATTTTTCATATCTTTGGTATGGGTTTCACGTCATTCCTCTGACATATGTTAGGTGAAAGTCCGATGAGAGTGGGAGAGAGACAGAGGAAATATTCAGTGACCAACTACTCCCTCCACGTCGGTGACATAGCGGTTAGGACGCTCGCTGACCATGCACATGGTCCGGAATTCGACCCCCAGCCGACTCATTCCTTTACCTCGCTAAGCCAGAAATAATGCTGGTGAAGAGGAAAGGTTGGGCATGAAGCTGGCAACCACATCCTGTAAAATAAAAATATGCAAACCACTAGCTTGAAGCCCTATATTCCACTGGGGAACGTGAAGGAAAAAAAAACTACTCCCTCCATCTAGCTATTTTGAATGTATATCTAACAAATGCAGTAGATATGACACAGTTCTAATGTCAGAAATGTAGAAAATACTACTTTAAACGAAAATCTAAGGATAAGAAATAATGTAATTAAGTAAAAGAAAGTCTATAAGCTACACGAATGAAGAGCTTGATTTGCTTATGAGACCAGCAACAACAACTGGGCTGGGGATGTTATTCTATGATGGAATTATACTCTACAGGAAATAGTCTAGCGTCGGTGGCACAGCGGTAGAATGCTCGCCGCCAACCACACCCCTCATGTGGTTCGCGGTTCGACTCCCGGCCACCAACGCACTGCTTTCCCTCGCTAAACCGGTAATAAGACTGGTAAAGAGGGAAGGTTGGGCATGAGGCTGGCTAGCAACTTCATCTAGTAAAAAGCAAACACGCCTGCTACCGAAATTTCAAGCCTCTAGCTTGAAGCCGCCCTATGTTCCAATGGGAACGTAATGGAATTTTTTAAAATCACATACGGTGAGGGTGTGTTTATCAAACTTTTTGGTATATCGACTTCAGAGTTTATCAAGCTTTAGATAAATTTGTAAAAAATTATATTTCTAAAATCTCAGAGAGATTGAAATGAGTAATTCCAACGTTTCCTGTGTTCAGCAATCTGGTCCGAACTTCTTCAGGGAAATTAATCGAAATTAACATAACAGAGGTTTATATATAAAAGAAACATCACTAGTTTTTAAAAACTTTGTCCAATCATGAGTCATTCAACAAGTATAATAAACAAAATTGTATGAGCTGTGGTCAAAATTTGACCTCGGACTTACAAATATTGGTCTACCTTTGTTAAACCCTTTAAACAGTGTGTATGTGTGTGTGTGTGTGGGGGGGTAAACAGTTGTAAAACATTTCTTAACATCTCCATAAGAAGACATAGACAGACGGGAATTTTGACCAAGTATTAATATTTAGTGATACATATCCATTTTTTATTTATTAATAAGGATTTCCTATGCATCAGCTAATATCACACCTTCATGTCTGTTCATACTGTTAGTATCTAGAATTTTATGATTAGACGTATTTTCAAAATTATGGTGTTTAGGATTAGAGTTTAGTTGAAGCACCCTGTCGAACTTATTGCTTTGTCTTCTTTCTGAATATTGAGCTGCTTTATTCGACCTACTGGAGTTGTCAGGTGACTCGACAGCTACGGATTTAGGATATGCATTATTCTGTTGCAGACAACGGAGACTGAAAACACCATGATTGTGCCAATTACATATAGTTACTTTGTTAATTTAATTCGATAGCAAAATAATTCAAATGAACTGTCGTCGTCAAGTTTTGACAGAATAGTTCTAAAATATTTGGAATTACTCATTTCAATCTCGCTGAGATTTTACAAATATAAAATTTCTTAACAAATGTCTAACTCTCACTCCGCGCCCAATTATATTTTAGAACTATTCTGTCAAATCTTGACGACGACAGTTCATTTGAATTACTTTGGATAAATGCTTGATCTCATGAATGCACATTCGCTTTCATGTACAACCTGTGTGGCGTGTGCTACTGATAATTTGTATTAGTAGTATATATGTAATCAGGTAACCAAAGGTAAAAAAAGCATCAAATAGCAGGGAGATAGATTTCATGTCAGAGAAAGTAAATCATACAGCGTTGCGTAGATGCATGGGAGACGTCAGTGAAAGGAATACAAAGAAACACAATATGATGAAGGAAGGCAAGAAGTAGCACAACACGGATGATCTGTGCACAAATGGTGCGTTGAAGATAAGGGGTGTACATAATTTCGCTATATACAGATACCAAATTGCGCTA